AGGCTCTCCTGGTATCCCCTCCCCTTCGATACACTCCAGGAAGTGCTCTATCTGGTTTCAGGAGCTGGGAGCAGTTTGCCCGGCAGCCAGCAGTCAGAGCAGGGCCCTTAACAATGGTCCCTTGTGCGCAGGACACATTCCTCCCTAAACAGGCCCAGATCCAGGCTGCTCCTGCTTTGGCCCCCCATGGCACGGACAGGAAGGTTTGCATCTGGAGGGAGGCCCTGCTCTGCGTCTTTGTGTAGCTGCAGAGACCAACTGGTGGTGCTTGAGGGCAGGAGAAGCCCTGTGCCCATCCCAGTCTGTGAGGAGGTTCTCTCCGGGGAGTAGGGACCTCCTGGCGGGCAGTTATCCACACCCTCCAACTCTGTTGATTGTTTTATTCCCTGAAAATGCAAGTGACCTGTATTTAGCATAAGTATCTCAAGACAAGGCAGGGAAGAGTAGTGGAGAACGGGGCTGTCTTTCCACCCAGTGCGTGCATGTGCGTGCAAACTGCACATGTGTGGATGAAATGGGATTAGGAGCACTGTCTGCATCTTGTATCCTGCTATTTTTATTTAATATTCTCAGCATTTCTCATCTTCAAAAATGTGATTTTGATGATGATGCAGGCCTTTGGCATATGAGTTTAGAAAATCTACGCAAACCTGAATTGTTTCCAGTGTTTGTGATTTTAACGCTGATGCAAACATCCTTCCATGGGGGTGGTGGCAGGGTGCTTCCAAGCAGGTCTTCACGTGGGGGAGAGAGGGGTGGCTGCGTGTGCCAGTGCAGGACCTGGGGCGTATTTTTAGGACTCTGGTTGAGGAGGAGACACCAGAGGACCCTGTCATGCCAGCCTCGTGACAAGTGTCTCCTGATGTTCCCCGGCTGGGTGCTACTCATGACGTCCTGGGTGGGGGTGGGGGTGCGTTTGCACAGGGAGCATCCTCTGCAGAGCCTGCTTCATTGCCAAATATTCCAGTGAACATCTAGAGTGATGTTATTCCCCTGACGACTTCCCCAACCATCTGGGGTTTTTGTGTGACTCCAGGAAAGGGAAAAAGGAGGTAGTTCTGGCTCCTCTATGAGCAGCTGTGGACTGGGGCCAAGTGGTGACAGCACCAGCAGGAGAGGCCCTTGACCACCTTGCAGCCCAGAGGCTGCATCTGTCCAGTGGTCCCGTGCACGTGTCCTGGGGCTCCTGGAACAAACTGCTGGAAACTGGGGCCTTAGCAACAGACATTTCATCTCTCACTTTCTGGAGAACAGAAGTCTGAAATCGAGGTGTGGGCAGTGCCAGCCTCCTTCTGAAGGCTCGAGAGAAGGATCCATCCTGCCTCTTTCAGGCTCTGGTGGCTCTAAGAGTTCCTAGGCTCCAGGCAGCATCTCTGCCTCTGTTGTCACCTGGCCTCCTTCATGTCTGAAGTCTCTCTCTGCCTCTTTCTTATAAGGAGTCATTGGATTTAGAACCCACCCTAAGCCCAGGATAGTCTCATCTTGGGATCCTAACTTGATGACATGTGCAAAGACCCTTTTTCCAAATGAGGTTACATTCACAGGTTCTTGGTATTAGGACTTGGACACCTCTTTTTTTTTTAATTTTTTTTTTATTGAGACCGAGTCTCACTTTGTCACCCTTGGTAGAGTGCCATGGCATCATAGCTCACAGCAACCTCCAACTCTTGGGCGTAAGCGATTCTTTTGCCTCAACCTCCTAAGTAGCTGGGACTTGGAAGCCATAATGCCTGGCTATTTTGTTGTTTAGCAGGCTCAGGCCACGTTTGAACCCACAAGCCTTGGAGCATGTGGCCAGCACCCTAACCACTGAGCTATGGGTGCCCCCAGATACCTCTTTTTGGGGGCTACCATTCAGCCCACTACAGAACCTCAGAGGAAAGTAAAATGTCTCAGGCTGAAATGGGATGAAAATCCAGAGCTTCCCATTCTGTGAGAGGTCCCCTTAGGGCTCCATTTCTAAGATTAGCAGCCTGTGATCCCACCTTCCATAAGTTCTCTGGAAGCACCTGAGACCTGATGCAGGGATGGGACAATGGAGTTAAGGACATCTGGCTCTGTTCCCAGGGAGCCAGACACACCCCCTTGCAGCCAACCTCAGTGGTCATGACATGGCCAGAGTGATGTGGGCTGGGGTCGTACAGACTATCTGGGGCCAGGACAGACTCTGGGAGGAGGCTGGAGCAAGACTGGTTGTGGGAGACCTTGATTCGAGGGGGCAGAGGGGGAGCAGGAGGGGATAGCGGTGGCTGCATGCTTGCTTGGGGAAACAGAATAAGCCAGGGTGGGACCCCTTCGTTTGGGTGTCACCTTCTCATATTCCAGCCGGGGAAGGTGGCTGCCCCCAGGACGGAGCAGCTTCTTATCTCCTTGTTCCCCTGGCACTCTGTACGGAATTTGCGACTGTGACCTAGAGCAACAGCAGCAGCCCCGGTTCACTGAGCGCTCACCATCCTGTGGAGGGGTGCCCACTTCATTGGACACAAAGCATTGAAAGACAGGAGGGGCTGGCAGGTGGGGCCGGCCTGCCCTGCATTTTGTGTTGATGCCCAAGGTGCTGAGGAGTGAGCCACACGACATCTGGAGGAAGGAGTGTTGCAGGGAGAGGGGCCAATTTCAGTTCTGGAATGATCTTCATGTGCATGTGGGCCTGGCTCGAAGTCATAACCCCATCTGGACTGTGGACTCCACTGTAAGCTCGAATCAGGGAGAGCTTTGCTTTGGTGCAAGGTCTTAAATTGTGAGTCGGCAATTAGGGGGGCTTCTGAATGGGACACCGAGGAAAGGGGTCTTCTTATTCTCTTGGGGAAAACCTGGCGAAGGTCTTTACTGCCTGCTTTCTGTTCCCCGACTGGGTCAGAAGGAACTAACGCCAAGAGGAACCTGTGGAAGCTGGAGCTGCCTCTGGGGAGCACACAGGAGAGGCACATCATATCGGGACACTGTGGGTAGTGATCACAAGACGGGGGGTCGACGAGGGGACCTCAGGTGGTGCTGGGAACTACAGGAGGACACATTTATGTCTGGTCACTGAGCTTTGGACTTTCCCGTGTGAGTGACTGCTTAGTCCTTCCTCGGGGCTCCTTTTAGAATCAGAGCTGACCTTTCACACACAGGGTCTGTCTCAGGGACAGGCCCCAGCGAGGGGCAAAGCTGCACCAGGTCAGGACCCCGGACTCCCTGACTCAGGGTCCCATAGCCCTCTTGTCATTTTGAGGCAGAGGTCACTGGCTGGGCCTGCAGGTGAAGAGGGAGGCAGTCTCTGACCTGGTTGGTTTGGTTGTACAGTGCTTTTAAACGGGCTCGTTTCGTTTTGTGCCATCATTTAAAAATCTGGAGATATCGTAGAAAAATCCAGATTTCTAGACTCTCTTGAGAAGTCAGAAGCTCTGGCCAGGGTGGGCCCACATTCCCACAGGGCAGTGACGGAGCTGGGTGGCAGGGCCCTCCCTGAGACACGGCTCATGGTGATGCTGGAGGTCGGTGAAATGCACGTGGCTGCCTACCCAGCTACTCTGCGGACATTACAGGCTCTGTTTGTTCTCTGAGGAGGTCGAGTAGAGTACAGCAATCTAGGATTTTGTTCTTTTCTGCATCCACTGAGAGGGAGGGGTGCTCAGGGCCTAGAGACAGGTCCTCCACAGGATGTCTGGGAAGCTGGTGGTGGAAGGGCCAGGGACCAGGGAAGCTGGGCCGCCTCTGCCTCTCCCTTCCCGAGGGATTAAGGGGACTTCCCTGGCTGCCCACCCACTCGGCCACTCCCTCACTCTAAAGGAGGAACCCTCCACTGGGAAGAGCTAGGAGCTGAGTTTGCATTTGGAGGGAAGGAGACCAGAGAGGGGGCTGCTGAGCACATCCTGGAGAGCTATTGGCAGGGGCTGGGGACCAGCTGTCGCTTCTCTCCCCTGTAGGCAGGGGAGGAAGTGGTAGTGTCCCATGAGATCTGGGCTCTGGGGGCTGGGAGGCCCAAGGAAGGAGCTGGTGAATGCTGCTGCCACGTGGGCCTCCTCTCGCTCCTGTCCCTGTAACCTGGAGCAGCTGGCTCTCATTTGGAGTGTGGTTGCAGGGACTATGGGGGTGGAGCCTCCCAGGCTCTGTCCCCACTGCCTCTGAGGGAGCAGACGCTGGGGGAGAGGGCAGGACTGGGGGAGAGGGCAGGACGGCTGGGTGGAAGAAACTCGGGGCTGCAGGAGTGGAGTTGAGTGGTCATGCCCTCACAGGAGGTGGTGGTGTCATATGGGAAAATGCAGACAAGTGGGAGGATTGAGAAAGTGGGTGTGTGTGGACTCTATTGGGGAGCTGGCATTGTGGGCTTTGGCATCAGACTGATGGAAAACCTGGCCCTGCATCTTACTGCCTGTGCCATGGGGCCCGCTGCTTAGGCGACCCTGCTTGGTTTCCCCTTCTGTACCAGGGGATAGTAGCAAGGTTACGGCAGAGTAAACATGACACAGTGAGCCCAGCGCTGTGCCAGTGGTGAAGGCTTGTGGTGTCAGCCCTGGTGTTGGGATTCACATTGTTCCTGCCCTACCCTTATTGGTGGTGGGATTTGATCCTTATTACTGGGGATGTGACCCCTGCTGCTGCTGCTGCTGCTCCTACTTGTGTGTTTGAAGACCATGTCTGGGTGTCAGTCTGGGTGAATGTGAGGAGGGATAAAGAAAGTCTTGACAAGGAGAAATTAAGGCTCCTTGAGAGCCAGGACATTCTTATATGTAGACCCAGCTGGAGGGGAAGGTTGTGTGGTCTGCAAGTGGTCCTGGCAAGACCAAAAGGGCCGTGTCTCTCTTCCCCAGAACTCATATGACTCATGGTGCTTCTGCAGGTTCCCTAGAATGGGGCTGCCCCTTTCCCTTGTTCAGAGGTGAAGAATGAGAAGTCCCCGAGGCCTGGCCACTGTGTCCGCACTAGCTACCTTCCCCTCTGTCCTTAGTAGGAAACATGCTGAGTATTCTCCAGCCGTCCACTCACCACCCACATCCTCTTTCTTTATGTTTCAGCCTTGAAAAGATCTTTTGAGGTCGAGGAGGTTGAGACACCCAACTCCTCCCCACTCCGGAGGGTCCAGACTCCGCTGCTCCGGTCCTCTGTGGCCAGCTCCACCCAGAAATTCCAGGACCTGGGCGTGAAGAACCCAGAGGCTGTGCCCCGCCATGTAGACTCCTTAAGCCAGCGCTCGCCCAAGGCTTCCCTGCGGAGGGTGGAGCTCCCCGGGCCTAAGGTGGCCGAGCCTGTGTCACGGCGCACGGAGCTGTCCATCGACATCTCCTCCAAGCAGGTGGAGAGCCCCGGGGGGGCCACCGCTGGGCCATCACGGTTTGGCCTCAAGAGGGCCGAGGTGCTGGGCCACAAGACACCCGAGCCAGCCCCTCGGAGGACGGAGATCACCTTTGTGAAGCCCCAGGAGTCAGCTCACCGGAGAGCGGAGCCCCCCACCTCCAAGATCCCCCCCGAGGTGCCTACTGCCCCCACCACCGACGCAGCCCCCAAGAGGGTGGAGATCCAGGTGCCCAAGCCAGCTGAGGTGCCCGCTGCCCCCATCCCAACCCAGACCCTGGAGAATTCAGAGCCCACCTCCTTGTCTCAGCTGCAGAACCGGCTGGAGCCCAAGGCCCAGCCCCTGGTGGCTGAGGCCCCACCCCGGAGCCTGGAGGGTAAGTTGCTAAGGAGCACTGTTGTGGCTGTGGTGATCTTGGGTAGGGTGTGGGGAGGTTTGCTTTACTGTCTCAGAGGAAGAAGCTGGGTGTGGGTGGGGGATGCTTCCATGGAGACCAAGGTAAACCACATTACTTGAGCTGGTCTGTGGGGTAAGGCTCAGAGGAGGTGGATGTGGCTCTGTCTATTGGGGACACCAAGGGTGCCACAAGTGGGACTTGAGTGACACCTTCCTTGCAAAGAATCTGGCTTATGAGGCACCCCTTTATTGGTCCTCATGATGGTGGGACCCCTGCTGTGTGGTCTAGGGGCTTGGTGGACAAGGAGCCTGTGCAGGAACTGGTTAGGCTCATATGGGGTGCAGGACAGCGTGGGGCTGAGACTCTCGGTCATGCTCACATGTTGAGGGGAATTGTGGACTGCCTGGAAGTGCCCCGCGGAGGCCAACAAGGCCAGGGCAGGAGGAAGAGGCTGTACCCTCCTGCAGCTTTCGTCCAAGGGTCTTTCTCCTTCTTCTGCTGACCCTCTGAGCCTGTCTTCCTCCTCCTCTTCCTCCTCCTCCCCAGGGAGGACTGGTTATGGCTGGAGGCCTAGAGAACATGGAGAACCCCTTAGCCTCTGCGTGTGATATTCTCTGAACCTCTGGGAGGTAGTGTCTAGACCAGGGGCTAGACCAGGTGGTGTCTAGACCTCAGCTGGATCTCTACCCTCTTGGGGGCTGTGTCAGTGGTGGGGGCAGTAGACATGTTACCCACACACAGCTTCACTGGGAGGTGGTCTTCTGGTGGGGGCGTGAGGGGTGCTGGCAGTGTCCTGGGAGGGCTCACCTGGAATTATCTGCATGTGGAGAGCTTGTGGGCTGTGGTACCAGTCCTGGCAGGACATGGGCCTGCTTAGGAACGCAGGGACACCATTTGTGGCCTTTCTCAGAAGGAAAGTCCCAACCCTGCAAGGATCTCAGCTCCACGGGGCCATATTAAGGTGCCAGCTGGGTGAGGAGCCCCTTGAAAGCTGGGTTCAGTCCTGAGTGCAGGACTTGGAACTTGGCGTAAATGTTCAATATGTGTTCTTTGAGTTGGACAAACAGAACATTCTGGGGTTGTTTTTTTTTTTTTTTAATAGCAAAAGGATGTATTTTATTTTAGAAGAAATTGGCAGTTTTCTAAAGTAAATGTATCATTTTAAACTTCTACTGTCAATGTCTGAGAATTTCATTTGCTCCATATCCTCACCAGCATTTAGTGCGATTAAAACCATGTTCTTTTCCGTCGTTCTAGAGCTTATGAAGTTATTCTAGGGCACCTCAGCACGGATTAGTTTGCATTATTAGCCTGAAGAGTAGAGATGGTGAGGATTTTTTTTATCTGATTTTTTCTCTTTTTTTTTTTTTTTGCAGTTTTTGGCTGAGGCTGGGTTTGAACCCACTGCCTCCAGCATGTGGGGCTGGCCCCTTACTCCTTGAGGGAGTAGGTGCCACCCTTTTTTCTCTCATTTTTATAAATTCTCTGTGAAGTATCTGTTTGAATCTTTTGCCCATCTTAATTGAGCCGTGCATAGTTTTTGTTACTGAATACAGAAATACTTTATTTTCACGAGCTATTCCTTTATCAGATACGTGTATTACTTTCTCTCGTGTCTGTGGCTTGACCTGTCATTTTCTTGAAAGTACAGTTTGATGAGAGTTTTTTCATACTGATGAAATCCAATTTTTTGTTACTTTATAAGTGAAGTGTTTATTTTTTTTGCTTCTGTAAGAAAGGTTTTTCTCGCATGACCTCGTGGAGATACTCTCCTATATTTTCTTCCCAGATCTTTTCGTATTAACTTTACCTGTATGTCCCACAGTGGGTTTTATGCATGTTGTGAGGAAAGGCTCAAAGCACATTTCCCCCTATATATTTATTTGGTTGTTTCAGCGTCATGGAGAATAGTCTCCTTTCCTTATTTAATTATTAAATACATCAGTGACATCGTTAGAAGTCAGTTTATGGGCTTTCTCTTCTTTTTGATTTATCTTTTCAATTGTTACTTCTTTTTTTTTTTTTTTGTCGAGACAGAGTCCCACCCTGTGCCCCTGAGCAGAGTGCAGTGGCTTGGTAGCTCACTGCAACCTCAGACTCCTGGCTTGTGGGCATCCTGCTGCCTCAGCCTCCCGAAGCCACTGGGATTACAGGCACTCGCTGTGGCACCCGGCTGGGTTTTTCCATTTTTTTCATGAGTTGGGGTCTCACTTTCACTCAGGTGAGTCTCGAATTCTTGAGCTACAGTGATTCTCCCTCCTCAGCCTCCCATAGTGCTGGGATTACAGGTGTGAGCAGGCTCAATTCTTACTTCTCATTGTGGTGAAATACGCATAACATGAAATGGAAAAATATGGTATTTGTTGGTTTTGTGCCTGACATCTCCCTCAGCATGTCTTCAGGGTCCATCCTTGGGAGAGGGGTCACAGCCCCTTCACCCCCATATGTGCCCTGCACAGCACTTACCTGCACAGCCTTTGGTGGACACTTGGGTTTCAAGTCCCTGCTTTTAATTCTTTTGGGTTTTCCTCTTTGGATGGGAGTCAAAGGTCAGTGTTGGGGGGTTGGCGGGTGCGGTTGGGGTGAGACCACACCCCCCACTGTCCCGTGCATCTGACTCAGCAGGTCTCAGGCTGGGACTGCACTTCCCACAGTGCTGGCTGTCTTTAGTCCACACTCTGAAGAGTCAGGGACTAGTGGACCTTTCAGGGTCCCTCCCAGCCCTGCTGTGTGTTTAGTCTATTCCCCTCCTATTTCTCCACACTGGACTCTGCAAAGCCACTCACCCACTCAAACGCAGTGACGGTGGCTACAGGTCCCTCCCCACAGCCTCCTGTTGGTCCAGAACCTTTGTTTGACCTGCCAGATGCCCTCCCTCCCCCAGGTGATGTGTTCCCACTCAGCTGAGTCAAACAGGATGTGGCTGGGGAGACGCTGGCACTGGGCCACAGCCAGGTCTTGGCGATAGCTGGCACCGGATGTATGAGGAGATGGGCCTGGCCTTGGGGGCCAGGTGGGGGACATCTACGTGGACAGTGGCAGACCCTCCTCAGCCTGCACTTTGTGCCGGAGACTGTGCGGGGCCACAGTGGCAAGTCCCATAGGCACTGCTCTTGGGAGCTCACTGAGTGTGGGTAGGACAGTGGTGCCCAGCTGCTGGGGAGAAGTGTGCATGTGGAGGGTGAGGCAGAGGTCTGTCTGGTCACTTTTGGAGGGGCTAGGAAGGGGAAAGAAAGGTGCCCCAGTCGGGGGCAGCTGTGTCTAGACCCCCCTGGAGCCTGGAGCTCAGGGGCAGAGAGGAGGAGGAATTTCTCTGTTGGATAGATCCGTAAACATTGGAGCCAGGTGTGAGGGGAAATATTGTTGGCATCTGCGACCCTGCCACCCTGTGACAGGGGCCCAAGCAGGTGAGGGTGCAACTCCGAGTGGAGAGACCTCCAGTCCTGAGGGCCTATGCGTGGCTGAGTGGGAGAAGGGCAGGCGAGGGCAGGAGCTTCCTGGTGGAGGACCCCAGGCCTGAACTCCCACCTGCCCTCCTCCAAGGCTGCGCCTGCTTCTCCACCCTGCCCCCTGTCTTGGCCTGTCTGGTCCCTCCAGACTCAGATCTACAGGTGATCTCTTGGCCTCCCCTCCTGCCCATCTTTCCTGCAGCCCTGGCGTGGCTGCCCCCTCTCCATGGGGGCTGGGTTGGGAGCTCCCTGAGCCCCCCATGTACACTGCTCTGATGGCTCTCTGTGGCCTCCCTGCCCCTTGGGCCCAAAGTCCAGCTAGCATTGCAGGTGGAAGGGATTGGAGGGGAGAGAGAGAGCTCTGTGTCCTCTGAGCAGGTGCTCAGCCTGTTGGCTTCTGTCTCCAGGAAGAACCTCTGGACCGTGGCTCATTCCACCCTGGGGCTGTGGGCACAAATTGGGGTTTCCTGGGGGGCCCCAGTTGGGTTGTTTCCAGACCGACCTCCCTGAAGCACCTCACCCGATTGGGCCCTCCACAGTTGACGCATTGTCCTGCTCAGCTCCCACACTTTGCCTCAGGTCCTCCTCCGCTTTTCTCTTGGTCTCCCACACCTGTCCTCACAACCCCTCTGCTCTCACCTCCTAAACTCTGAACTCAGCTCTCTTTATGTTATCATGGCTTTGTTGAACTCCTGTGTATCTCTACAAGCCCAGTCCTTGATACCTTATGTTTGGCTTGGGATATAAATTATTTATGTATAAACCTTATTCCTTTTGCTAGAGTTTTTTTTATTTTTATATTTTCTTTTGAGACAGAATCTCACTTTGTCACCCTTGGTAGAGTGCTGTGGCATCACAGCTCACAGCAACCTCCAACACTTGGGCTTAAGTGGTTCTTTTGCCTCAGTCTCCTAAGTAGCTGGGACTACAGGTGCCGGCCACAACGCCCGGCTATTTTTTGGTTGCAGTTATCATTGTTGTATGTTGCTGGCGCCCTTTGCCGCTGAGGTATAGGTGCTGAGCCCTTTTTTTAGAGTTTTGTTTTTAATATAAAAACAGTTTTTCAGATTGCAAAAAGTACAAAGAATAAGATTATACTATTTCTTTAAATACAGGAAATACAGAAATTGGAAACTAAAATTCACCTGTAAACCAGTGACATTCATTTATACATTTTGCTATGTGGTTTTCAGAATTCCTTCCATGCCTGCCATTAGCTTCCTTGAGAGAGGGGCTGTTGTCTTTGAACTTATGAAGAATCCATAAGGACCAAGTAATTGACTGACACATAATAGGTGCTGGGTAGATATTGAAGGTGTGGCCTCCTGGCAGTGAGGCAGGGATGGCTTTTCTTATGCCTCTTGCAGGCAGATACAGGGATCACCATGGGATCCCCCAGAGACCAAGCAGATACTTTCCTGATTAACTTTACCCCCAAGCACCTGGTCTTTCCTGAACCTCAGGTTGGTTGTCACATGCCAGGGTTTGGGGTGGGGGGGGACTGGAGATGCTCTGGAGGGTGCTCTGGTG